CTAAAAGCGGCGAAAGGAACAAACTGTCTCGCATCACCTTCGTCTTTGACACTGTGTGCACGGCCGACTGTAAACTGTTCTTCTCCGCTGTGAGTGGAAACAGCGTTTTTTTTTTGACATTATAACAGCAACAACGTTCAGCCTGACCTGAGTATGAATGTGCTGTGGTTTCTGCAGGGCTATAACCAGTGGAACAACGAGTTGGTGGAGCAGTGGAACGGCAGCCAGAGCAGACAGTCGTACTCACACCTGATCCACAGCAACAGCAGCGTTAGCTTCACGTGGTCATTTCAACGAACGTCGACCTACACCACGGTGAGACAAATGGGAGGCGTTTGCTGAGGAGTCCTCCCTTTGTTGTGTTCTATGATTTTTCAAGATGTTGCCATTCGATATTTACTAGGACAAAGTTTGAGATACGTTGCTGTGAAACCTTTTGTTACTTTGTTTTTAACCATAAGTGAAAATATTCCTGAAAGTGAAATCATTTGTGCTAAAAAAAAAAACTAAGTCTGTGCAGTTGAATTTGTGGACTGCTCTCTGGGTACATTATACACAGCCACGTTTCTAAGCTAAAGAAAAAGTCTCATCTGGTCTAACAGAATCCTTTAATCTAATTTAAAGCCTGTCAACAAGCTCCAGCAGAACAGTGATGAGAGGGAAGGATGACTGTTGCTCTTTTATTTATTTATGGAGGTAAAAATGCAGTGACCTCTAGAGGGCAGACAGGAGCTATGGATCTGCTGTGATTAAACCCAAATGACCTTTGCATTGAGTATGAATCACACTGGTTGGGAAGATCCCTGTCTTGGTTTCCTTCTGCATTCTGTGTTGTTTTTGATTTTAAAACGTCTTAAAGGTCATTCACCTTCATTTTTATACTATAATATGATATAATTATTATTCAGGGACAGTATAATTTACCAATTACTATTTTTATTTTTTTCAACTTGAACATTAACAGGAGAGGGTCTACAGCAGCGATGTGGCGAGGATTTACTCCGTCCACATCACCAATGTGATCGGAGGAGTGGCCTCGGAGTGCCATCGCTGTGCCCTGAGTTCTAACGTGGACAACTCTGCCTGTGTTCCCTGTCCTCCGGGACACTTCATGGCCAGTGGGACAGGAGAGTGTCAGAGCTGTCCGTCCAACTCTTACATCAGGAGTGATCAGCTGGTGGGAAAAGATGCCTGCGTTCAGTGTGGTCCAAACACAAAGAGTGACGTGGTAAGAACACGATGAGAGCATATTCAGTCAAACAGATGGAATTTGGTTCCGTAGTGTAGCGGTTAGCATGCCTGCCTCAGAGAGCGGAGAGTCCTGGGTTTGATTCCCAGAGGAACCACATATTTAATAATGTTAATCCTACTCTGTAAGGCACATTGGATAAAAGTGTCTGCTAAATTAAGAAAATAATGTTAATCCTACTCTGTAAGGCATGTTGGATAAAAGTTTCTGCTAAATGAAGAAAAAAAAGTTATACACTGGGATTGTGTCATGGCCAAATGCAAACAGTTATGTTTACAGTTTGTCTACTAAAGTTCCCTTACATATGGTCAGTTTGGTCTGATGTGATTTTCTTCATTCATGCAACTGAATCATTTTAACTGTAGGGGAGGACTGGGGGTTCCCAAAGTGTGGGGTGGGACCCCTGTGGGTGTGCAACATTAAAAAAACAAACAAACACACTCTAGTTTTAAATAGTAAAATAAACTTGCACATATTGACAACCTAAAAGTTGGAAAATGATAAAACCTGTTACTGTTTTGTGAATGACTCCCTCAGTAGCGTCTATAATAAAAGGAGCTGACTTCCTGTTCCTTTCCTCCAGGCTTTTTCATCTTGCCTCAATGACTGCACTCTGGACATTCAGTCGAGAGAAGCAGAACTGCTGCACTACGACTTCTCTTCTCTGGCCAATGTCACCGGCTTCAACACCGTTACTCTCTTCACCAGCAGAGGCGTCAAATACTCCAAGCGTTTTAATGTGGCTCTGTGTGGAAAAGAGGTGACGCAGCTGTGTGACCCAGTGAAATTCCTCTGTGGTGACCCTGAACTCATCACGTTTCTCTTACAGGACCGAACGCCGGCTACCTGTGTTAACAACGTAACAGGAAGTACAAAGAAGGTCAAAGGTTACATCTGCCAATCCACAATAGTTCCTTCTGGATCGAGGAGTGAAAATGTAGTGTCCTCCCAGCCTTTTGTGATTGGAGACTCACTCATTGGTATGGACTACTGTCTACAAATAGAAGAATTTATATTTTTGTTTTCCAACAGCACATTCAGAATGATGCTAACCCTAACCTGATGTTGTGGTTTCAGTTAGATATTGACCCTATGCTTTCCTTATGTTTGTGACTTAGTTCAGTGACTAACAAGAGACTAGTGCCCCCTACAGACAATATTTTAAAAAAGTCAACTTTAAAAAGCTGCTTTGAGGAGTTTTCATTAAAAACCAGTGGAGTATAATGAGGCGTTTACATGTTGTCCTTCTAAAGGTGTGACCACAGACACAACACGGAGCGGCATCTCTTCACCAGAAGGGTTGTTTCCATCTGAGTCCAGCCTACCAGATGTCATATTCTACTACAAGTGAGTGAACTTAAAATCTAAGCTCACTTTCAAACCTTTTGGAACCTTATGTGGATTATAGAACATGTCCATAAATGCAGTAAATAGAGTTTGTAAGGAATGTGATGAGTACAACATTAACAAATTGCAGTGTGAAATGATGAAGACATCCCTGTTTGTCATATACGTGACGTGTCCAGGTCCAGTGATACGACTCAGGCGTGTAAGCAGGGCAGAGCGGCCGCCGTCAGACTGCGATGTGATCCCACAGTGTCTGTCAAAGACCACTTCACTCTGCCAAGGTATGTGACAGCCTTCTACAGCTCAGCTGTTTCTAGTGGAGCGGATCATCCAGACAACATTTTGATGTGAAAAGTACATGTTATATTTTGATAGATAAGTCACATTTGACACATGCACAGGTTGACACTCACTATATTAATGCTTGTGTATGCTGCTGTCCGCTGATTTCCCTTCACAGTAACTGTTCAGAGGGGACGTGTGATGGCTGTGTTTTCCACCTGCTGTGGAGGAGTCAGCACGCTTGTCCACTTTGCACCAAAAGCCACTACAAAGAAATCATCAGCGCTTGTATCCAGGGAATACAGGTACAGATGCACAGACACTGACACAGTGTGCATACACACAAGGTTTAAATTCTTTAGTAAATCTTATCATTATAAATGTCAAACAAATTAATATTAATATGCAGTAAAATAAATATTTATTATTATTATTATTTACTAATTCAACGTTTCCTCATGTGTTTTCAGAAAACCACATACGTGTGGCAGCAGCCATTGCAGTGTTTTGGAGGAGAGACGCTGCCTGCACAAAAAGTCAGTGCTTGCGTGAGTCTGGACTTTTGGCTCAGGTTTGGCGTGATGGCAGGAGTATTAGCTGCTGTGATTCTTATCAGTATCAGCTGCTATTTCTGGAAGAGGACACGCAAGTACGATCTATGAAATGTGATTTTTTACAATTATTAATATGTTGTAGAACCTACAGTAAAAAGTATACCTTCTGTTGCCTGCAGGTTGGAGTAC